AAATAAGAAAAATTTTCCTTGAAATTGAAAAGAACATACGATAAAACAAGACTTGAAGGGCTAGACCTTTTTTCAAGTATTGGACTAAAAATATGCAGGCATAATATAATTTTAAAAATCCCATAGAAATTTTTTCAACGGACAAAATATTATTTTGAAAGTTGTGCTTCCGAATGGGTCTGTTCAATTACACGCGCAGAAAAAATAATCAAAGACCAAACGAATAACTTCATACGCCGCACAAATAAACATTCATAAACGTTTCTTGACGGGAAAATTGGATCTGAAAACTTAATTTTAGCGTTTTGTTAGATTGCGCGGATTGCTAGGTCCGATTAAGTTTCGAAAAAAAATGTGAAATTACACTTTACCAAAACGGAAAACTCGGTTATTTTTTTAAATCACTAACAACTTAAAAATGTAAATGTCATTGCACTGATAGTTTTCAAAAATTTAGTATTTCAGGTTTTAAGGCCCACACACCCGGAATCGTTCTTAAATTAGGGTCACACTAATTTGAATGGAATAGGAAGACGAGTTAGGTAAATCAAAAGTAATATAACAGCGGCGCCACTGCAGGTAGTTTATTAGATTAATAAAGATAAATATAGATAAGTCTACCATTTACAATAGAATTTGTTGTGCAAATTTTACTCATCATGTGTCGAGTAGTCAGATGAAGTATAGTCGTCGAAGTCCAGAGAAATAAAAAGGCGCACTACAGTGTTTTCTAGCATGTCTTTATTCCCTCTTGTATAAAAGTTTCAACGTCCCTCATTTTAAAAATGGTGTTATGGATTGCTAGCCTTTTACTTTTACCGTACCAGTTCTGCAGTGGCATGGAGGCAGGCAAAGTAATATTTCGTTATGGAGCGATTTTATCGAAAATACATTTCGTACAAACAGGATTATTCAAAATTACAATCTCCAGTAGCTCCTTCTTCGGTACATCTTTCTCAATTTACTTTTAATTTAAAGCAATTTCTGATGTCATTTTTTTCTGAAATGCTATCACCGACCAATTCATTTTTGGCAATGTGAGTAATTATTAATGTTTTACCTTTTTTCCAGGATGCTTTTATTCCAGCGGACCATCTTTCCATGGAAACTTGCTTCACGCTTTTATATACCAACAGTATATACTTTATCTGCCCCAGTTTCATCCAGATAGTGGATATTCCTATTTTCTCTTTTCGAAACTCTCTAGCCGCTTTCGATAAATTCATTTCGCGTTGAACTTTACCGACAACTGCCGAATTTAAAAATTAAAATCAATCAATCAGAAACTGCAAGGAATTTAGCAGATAAAGTTATCAGCGAATTGTTCCTAATTTGCTTCTTTTCAGAAACTCACGCCTTTTACTTCTATAGAAAATGTAAATAAAGTAAGTATCCTATTAGAAATATAAATAAATATAACCACTTAGTTCCATCCACTTTTTCAACACTATGTAATACTAAATGTCAGGCAGGAAAAATATAAGTACAAAAAGAAGCACGTGCAGCACCTTGAGATGTTTGTCAGGAACCAAACGTCCTAGAGAGAACGCTCATTCCATAATCTGAAGTCTAGTGATTATAGACGAAAATTTTGTCTCCGAAATGTTATGTAAAACAATCCAATAAACAATTTGTTCTAACGAAAAACTATATTTCAATGAAATAAAAATTTGAAGAAATTTCGTCGTGTTTTAATCAAGTTGCTAAAATAAAAAATAGGAAGTAATTTTTTGTCAACACGAACTTATTTTCCACATTTTGAAGGTTTATACGCAATTCCCAACTGCCATTTCACATATAGTTTAAATGTTTATTATGTAGTTACTTTGTACGACTATTCTAAAGCGGCCTCGCCTAGGACCGTTTTCACCTGCTGGCGCCACCTGGCGGTGTTGTTGGCAATCGAATCTATCGAAATTTTCGGCAGCACTCATTTCCATGACGAACTTACACTAAAAGCTCGAATCGCAATGGGAGACAATTTTTTTTCTACTTGCAATTTAACTCTGCACTTTTAAAACTAATCACTGTGAGTGAGGAGATTTTTGTTGAAGTAAATTCTATGGAAATCGACGGGTATTTCCTTCCATACATAATACCGACATTGACGTAAATTATCGGTAACCACATCGTTGCGATGGCAGATTGGTTTTTACAGAAAAAATGTTACGGCGATCGTTCACGGACAGCTTTGGGAAGTATTGCAACAGAAAACTTAAGCGTTAAAAAAATATCGGACAGTGTAAAGTGTGGCTTACCTTCGAGAGTATCCAACGCACTATACGAAGACCACATGGCAGAAAAACCACACTACTTGGGTGTGTGATGAGTGTAAATACCTCGATGATGGGTACGTGTGATTCCCATTCTGATAAAATGCGAAACTTTATCGCAACAGCACCGCAAAAAATTTACAGAGTGTTTCAGTATCGACCTATACAAATCTCAAAGAAAATTGAGGAAATTCGGGATTTAGCACAGCTACTACGTCCCTGACTTCTCAGAAAAAAAACTTATTTCAACTAAAATACAAAAAGTAAAAAATTACATTCAATTTATATTAACACAATATCTTAAAATACTTAAGTAATTTGCATCAAGCTATTATAGTTAACAAAAATTGAAATAAAACTTAACTGTAACAGATCTGGTTAATTCATGTTAATTCATATAGTGGCCCTACTACGGTAAAAATTGATGCGCCGTGGACGGCATTGATATATTCGTACTCCGTCATGGTCTTTCTAAACTGCGATTTCCTCACACTTAACTCGCTTTCCGAGAACATTTTACAAAAAAAAAAATGCCACATCCAAGCTTATTGGCGATTTGTCATGTTGGTTGTTGAATGCCGCAAGGTTATTCAAATGAGATTTTAAATCTCGTGCATGCGCATGTTGAATGGACCTTCTCAAAATATTTTTCATAGTTGTTTCATAAAGTTGTGTACTAGTAGCTACATGGGTTATTACGTTAATTACTTTTCCCAAATAAATTTATTTTTCTACTACCGTCTGTAAAATACCTAATTACACACCAATCTAGCCTGCGGGAATCGTCACATTAGCACGTTAGTTTCGTTTCTCACGGGTCCGAGCCACTTCGGACATTTCCGGGATTTTACCGCAATCGGATGTTTTCGGAGATTTTTCCCACGCTTTGAATTTTGACGGTCATGTTAGTGTTGTTTTGCGAAAAGTACCCACAAACTAACGGTCGTAGAAAAAGTATAATATGCAACACGTTCGGTAAACTTTTTAAGTCACTCGTTTACTAAACACTCGCTCCGCTCGTGTCAAATAAACTCGTGAGTCAAATGCCGTTTACCGCACTTGTTTTTTCTTTTCTTATCATCAATCATCAATATTCACATTTAGTTGAGTATTGATGCATCTACAAGTTTTAGGCATAATTGTTGACAAATATTTATAAGATTTCCATTGTAGACAGAACCATTTTTAATAATAATTAACATGGTGGCTTGTTTAGATTATTTCACTCACTGGGTGCAATAATGGCACATATCAAAAAATAACTATTTTTAGTTAATTGTACCATAAAACTAGCACATTTCCATAGCACTTTTGAATTTCTCGCGTTTTTTAACTATCTTACGCGCAAAACCGGCTTAAAACCCAGTGTGCCTGTAATCGCAGCAGAGTGCGCAATGTTGTTAAAAAGCTCGAAGAAGACGGGAACTCCTTATAAAATCGTAGAAGTGAGTTACGATGATTTTCTTGATTTTAAAAAACTAGTAACTCAAACTTCCTTTAACTTTCATCGGGAAAGTTCAGGCCATATTGTCAAAATAAATGATGCGTTTTTTCTATGAAACATCTTTTAGTGAAACTGAATATTAGCATTACGCAAAGAACAATGCAAGCAGGCGCGAAATTTACATCTTTTCAAAATGTGAATCTAGACCGTGCTTGTCGAGATGTTATACCAATTCCAAAGAAAAAAATTAATGACTTAATGGATTTGATAAAAAGTAATGCTATTAAAAAATGTCACAGTTAATTTGATAATAGCCTGAAATGTGCTTTGGAAATGATTTTTTTTATTAATTTTCCAAAAACCAGGGCAGCTGGTTGTTGTTTTTAGTTTAGAATAGCTTAGCTTTGTGTACGTGTCTTTATTATGTTCTTGTTTCTTGTAATTTTAAAAACAGTAGCTCTCTACCAAAAACTATAGGTCCGTTATTTATTATTGTTTACGTGTTAAGAGTTGTACGTTGTCAAAAAGTTACGTGTAAAAAGTGATAGTACTTTCTTTTATTTTAGAAATAATACCTACTTCCACATGTATCAAAAACTAAGTGGGTTGTTTTTTAGTTATGGCTTTTGGATGTTTTTTTAATTTTCAGTTTGAGTTTTTTTAAAGTTACTACTATCTACCTATCTCGCCAATGAACCTGCCGTATTTTTATAATAAAATGATGTTAAAACTTTGATCTACTGTTTTATTGAGATTTTTTTAATCAAAATATTGCACATTATTTGTGAAATTGATGTGTGCAAAAAAAATCAATAACGGCACAAAATTTAAAAACATTTAAAAAAACAACCTCAAAAGATTTTTCACTAACACTATAAATATGAGTTATCTCAATATTTCAGTTTTTATTTTCCTAAATCACTGATTTTCTCGGAACTAGTATTTTGTGGATGTGCCACTGTTGCACACAGTGAACGATTTGTCAATAGTTGCTCCAAGCATCACTCAACGGCCGACTAACGAAATAAAATAAAAATTCAATGGAAAAGCCACATTTCGATCCCTAAACGAAAGCAACAATAATAAAGCCGATGAATTCATTACAAGATCGCTTAAATTTCTGGGTCGACCGAGCTCAGATTAATAGGATGTTATGAAAATAAATCATATCGTTGTTTATTATCCTTTGAGCGCAATCTCCCGCGATTTATATCGTTATAAAAACGACGCTTAACGTGTTGTTAAATGTTATTCCCCAAAAGCGCGAATGATCTAAAAACATATATTTAATAAATACAATTATAAAAATACAAAAAAGGGTCCATTTAACGCATTTTCTGGTGTCTCAAAGCTAGGCTGTTGCAAAACTCCAGCACTGGTGCCGGTCTCGTCACCTCCCCGCCAACTCCTTTGATTGTAAGTTTGATTTTGGAACCAGGCGGTACCGATTGAATTACACGCGGTTCCAAACCGTACTCGGAACTCTTCGACAGATTCTTCAATAAAGTTCGTTTACGCCTGGAAATTCATTTTATTTAATTTTGGACTTTGTAAAGGAAATTCGGTCGATTTCATTAACACACTATTAGTCGATTGTCGCACCTATACTCAAACTGATTGTTTCTAAAACTCAGGTCGGGTCTTAGTGCGGCGAATGCAGAGATGCAGAGACCATGACCCCATCTTCCGGTCGATATTTTAACGTAATCGTAAAATACAGGACACAGGCATATAATGTTCTAAATATTACAGATTTCTTAAATACTAAAGGGATTTATTCGCCTTTAGTCATTAATCAGCTCTTCTTTTTTAGGTCGGCATGGTAAACAAAAAGGAAAGGCTTTTATTCCACGGCATAAAATTGAAATAAACAAGCAACACCATAGAATCAATATCTCCGAGTGACAGAAGAATTTTTCTTTTCAGAATCTTAAATATTTTTACGCCTGAATGGTGTCTAAATTTTAAGGTATTGAAAATATCAACGTCTCAAACGGCCGTTATATCTACGACTCACCCCCCACCAAATACACTTGGTCCAACTGTCGTCCCTATTGTTTTGTGACAAAGGGCGCATCTACTATTCCCAAGCCAATCTCTATTCACCGGATCGAGATGCGTTCCATGGCCCACGACAAATTCGTGCATGCACGTATGTTGTCCCACGTCCCATAACTGTCCAATGTCGTGCGTTTCAAAGTAGTGCTCACGGCGAAACTCCTGTATCGCTTCAATGTTGTCCGGATCGACGTCTGACGTAAGAATATCCACAGTCGAACTACGTGTTCCGTAATTTTGAGTACCTAAACCGTCAAAGTTAAACCGTGTAGCACCCAAATCAAAACCAGCGTACCCAATAACGTGGTTGGTTCTGCACTCTCTGTACTTTCCAGGCGTTTCTCTTCCCGTTTTTTATCTTCTGCCAGGCTGAGCGCATACGCATCCTCTTGAGCTTGCCTGAATTCTTCGTATTTTTGTCGGTGCTCTGTCGGACTCAAATCGTGTTCCTTCCTGGCGTCTTTCAGTATCTCCAGTTGTCGAGGTTCGAGAACACAGACGCAACTTGAAGACTGATATATTCTCAAATCTTCGGGTTCTTCTTTACTGGTGCATTCCTTTGGTTTGCTCAACAGAGTAGGCTTCGCAGCTTCATCAACATGCGTGCAATAGCAGCTGTTTTGACTCAACATAGGCTTCCTTGTGACATTGCCTTTGGTTGTCTCGTCCTGTTTGAGTAATGGAGCGGTCGGCAGACTGGGGGGATGCAAGATGGCGTCGACGTTCGAAGAATCGTTTCTTGCTATCCAGTTCTTGGTGGTGATCATACGTTTTGGCATGGTGCTGCATGACATTCGACTAATTCCGTAGAAATTTGTGACATCATCTTGTCACATTGTAGTTAATGTATAAACTATGCACGGTTGTGTTATTACTGACTAGTATGTACTAGCTTCACCGATCAATGAAGAGCCGTTGAAAGTTACAAATTTGGAGAGCCTCAAAGTATATATTGCGTTTTTAAAAACTGCGGGAAAGAGATACGATTTTTTTTTCCTAACCTAACCAGAGTTATCAATGTTTTTTTTATTAAGTAAACCATAAGTTTTTAAGGGTGTGTCTTAAGCAGTATGCATGGTTTTTTTTTCGGTTTAAGTTGCGAATATTTCTAAGAGTTTGTCATTACTAAAAACTCACCAATGTACCATTTTCTTATATTTGGATCCTCCTTTCTGCAAAACAGCTTTGCTTGTGAAAAGTTGACGCATTTTATTTGCAAATAAGCGCTCACAAACACCCTTTTAATCAAATGTCAGAAAGTCAACCTAGCAACTAAGACTTGATACAAACAAAATGCCAGGTGTTCCACCATTTTATATATATGTTATTATATTATAATTATCCAATTTACAATATGTGTCCCCAAAATGAGTACGAAATCAGCCCATAGAAAACTCATATGCTACTGGGTATTTCTTAGTAATGAACTGATATAAATTTAGCTCCAGATCTCCAAGAAGACCCGAAGCTCCAAATCTGAATAAATCTGGAGTCAACCACTCTGTTCCAAGTAGCTCCTTTATTAAGACAAGCCACGCCAATGCATCTTTGGTGTTCCGAACTCCCCCTGCAGGTTTAAACCCCACTTTGTATCCATATTTGTTATAATAATCTTTTATAGCTCTACACATAACAATACCAACTTGTAAGGTGGCATTGACTGTTTCTTTGCCTGTAGAAGTCTTAATGAAATCTGCGCCAGCCATCATGGCGACCATAGAGGTCTTATAAACATTATTAAGAGTTCCGAGCTCACCGGTAGCTAAAATTGTTTTCATATGTGCTTCCCCACAGGCTTCTTTCATTTGTTTAATCTCCTGATACAGGTCTTCCCAGCGACCAGTCAGAACTAGGCTTCGGTCTATCACTATGTCAATTTCATTTGCTCCTTGGTCCACTGCATATCTGATTTCATCCAGTCTCGTCTTTAAAGGAGTTTGGCCACATGGGAATCCAGTAGCTACAGATGCTACATTGATTTTTTCGTAAAAACCAAGCCTTTTAAGAGATGATACTGCATCCGGCACTCTGGATGGGTATACACAAACTGCAGCTGTGTGAATAGGGCAGTCTTTGTTGTACTCATAACCTAGTTCACTAAGTAGGTCTTCTGCAACAGGTTTCGCCGCTTTAACGCACAACCTAGATACGTTACTGAAAGTGTCGTCTCCAGCCAAAGTGGTAAGGTCAATTAATGTAATTGCTTTTAATATCCAGGCAGCTCTGTATTTATCTTTTAATTCCTTTGAGAAAGGCAACTCTTTTGCTAATTTGTTAATTGAAGTTAAGTTGATATTTACACTATTTAACCAACCCAAATCCAAATCATAACCTGGATTATGCGTTTCTAACACTTTCATGTTTTTAAAAAATATATATATATAAAACTGAAAAATTGGCGAATCTTCTTCTTTACTTGTGCGGGACCAACCGGACACCTCTTGCAATCGCGTGAAACGAAATACCAAATTGATTTCTGTGATCACAGTGTCATTACATTTCTCTAGCTAATTTAATAGCTGATAGATGTTTTAAATTGAATTAATGATTACAATTTTAGGTGTGTTGTATGGTCCTACTTTCTTTTATATGCCTCGATTCTAAATACAAGGAAAAGATGACCGAAAAAAATTTATCGGTCAACTCGATTCCAAAAAACATCAAAACGGTTGTGGAGGAAGGGGAAAGAGTCCAGAAATCTTCTCCACATGAAGTTTCATATAGCTGCTCTGCATGTAACAAGAAATTTAAGCGTAAAACAGCCTGCTCTTCTCACATGCGTATATGTAATGTGAATATCACATCAGACTCGGATTTTGAGTTTGACTATAATCCCTCCGATTCTGATAGCAATGATTTCATTGTTGAGCTTAACATAAAACCAAGTAAAAGGACAAAGATTAATGGAAGACCACAAATGGAGGTTAGTGGGACCCATGTTGATGCACCAAATAAAATTGAAAGCGAAGTTAGGGAACAGTTAAAACATGAACCAAAGAAAGAATATGAAAAAGAAGTTATCAATAAGCAAACTGATGAAAATCCCAATACTGAAGTTCAAGAAATACATGTTGATGTAAATGGTAGAGTGTCAGTTGCCGAAAATACAGCAACGAACCGTGAACCTGTTATATCAATGGACAACATTATGAATGAATTTGTAAGTCATGAAGATACTTCAGGGACAGTAGATAATAATATGGAAGAACCAGATGATTACATTATTGAAGAACTAAGGAATGTTCAAAGTGTTCAGGTTGAAAATGATTTAGAACACTCAAATGGCACTGTAATTGAAGAAGATTGTTTTGAGCACGTTATTGAGAGGGCAGAGGTAGAAGAACATACACTAAGATTCAGTTTACCAGAAGAAAAAGCTGTTGTACAGCAACATGATCAAATCAAATCTAATGGTGAACAAAGAGTGAAACTTAACAAGACACCAGATGTATCAATTTATGAGTTTGTCGATGAAGAAGATGGGTTTCGGCAAGAACAGCGTAAAATGGACCTGGAAAGAAAAAAGAGAACCTGTAAAAATTGCTACTTGGTGTTTGAAGACCCAATGGAGGTGCTCCGACACAACAGAACCGCCCACACCTACCCAAAAGTATGGCTCCCCACTGAAAAGGTCATGAAGCATATGAATGTCAAAGATAAGTCCAAATGTCCAATTTGTGGAAAACCCTTATATGCGAAGTACAAGTCGGAATTTGTAAAGCACCTGAAGACACACATAGAGGACTATGAGTATCAGTGTAAAGTGTGTAAGCACATGTTTCGTCGAAAAGACCATTTGCGGAACCACGAAAGTAGGCACATTGTAGGAATTTAGTGGTGATTGATTAGAAATTAATTTTTAAATATGTAAGATATAAAAATAATTTAGAAGATTGGCATGTAAGATATTTGTATTTTGTGGTAATAAATAAGTTGATTAAATTCCTAAAAAGCTATAGATACGATAAATAAACAATATTTATCGGTAGTAAACAACTTGCCTTCCCACTCTTGCGGAAGGTGAAGGGTAATTTTTTTTTTTCGGAGAGGCGACTTTCTAAGTTGAATTTCTTCTTCAAAGCTTGCGGTTCCTCACTTTAATATTCCAAGTTCTAAGTAATACTATTCCACCTTTTGAACATAACGTTACCAAAACTGAACTACACATCCAAACTAACCGCATCTATGTTGTGGTTAAAAGGAAGAATAAAGGGACCATCAATCTTTGACGATAGTCGCAAATGGGCGAGTGATCCTAGCAAAATTAATCATTGGCGTTGGAATTGAAATCCATACATTTTATGAAGTTTTCGTTTGAGGTTCTTGTGTCTTTGGTGTTGGTGTGTTTTAAAGCAGGTTTTTTGGTAGCACAAAATGAGTAATCTTGATCTTCGCCGTTTTTATATTAGATCAATAGATGGCAGGATAGTGGTGCCATCTCTCATTAGATGCGAAAGATAATTAGTTGAAGCAATCACCAATAGAGGAGGCCTTAGTAGCCGCTGAAACTAATTTGTTGGTGCAAGCACCAATAGATGGCGCAGTAGTACCAGTTGTCTCTAACTGCACATCAGAAATAATTATTTTAGATTATTAATAGATGGCGAGGTAGTGGTGCTGGCTCTCGCTAAACGCTGCAATTAGTTAGCCAAAGCAAGCACTGATAGATGGCGCGGTGGTGTTGGAGCTAGCTCAAATACATTTCCCGTCTGCAGATCTGCTACATACATCTTTAAGCCATAGAAATAATTGATTTCGACAGATGCCAGTAGGGAGTGCATATCCCAAATTCCTAGAATTAATTATTTCACAAAAGACATATCTTAATTAGAAATAATTTATTTTATATGTAGAACAGTCACGGACAACCATTAAACTTCATCAGGCTTATCTCAAGAAGCAAAAAAACCAGGAATCTTTTTACCAAAAAAGTTTTCCAAACGTGTTGCATAGTATATTTTCTCTCTGATTCAATTGCGCCCAAACTCGTGTGCTAATACCCTGGACATGCCCAAAGTGACCCGCAGCCGTGAGATAGGAAACTGACAGTAAAATGGCACTTAAGTATTTTAGAGAAGGGAGTGAAAAAAAATATAATCTCTTCACCCCTAAACAAAAAGGGAATACACACATTTTGTGAATATGATAGCATTAACAGAAACCTTAAGTTAAATAATAAATCATTTATTTCCTGCAGGCATCACCGAATCACAGGAAATTAAAATTTAATTTACAATCAGCGATCAGAATAAAAATAATTATTATCAACAACTATGAAACATTTTTTTGCGGAGATCAGCATGTTTCTGTTTATGTTTTTTGATCCCCATGCTCGCCAGACTTATCTGCAAGCTTAATTTTTCCGGTAATGCTCCCTAAAGTATGCCAATAAAACCCGCAGCGTACATGAACTCAAAGTTTCCACATTCAAACTTGCAATCAAAACAAGAATAATAAATTTGAAGTGCATACGATTTAAACTTTATTTTTTGCCACACAATCAAGCTTCTTTTTAGTTGGAGTTTAAAAGATACATTTAAATTTGCATAAAAACGCGATTATTAGTTTAGTACCTATATTTTAATTGCACTGATGTCATTGAATGGAAGGGAACAAAAAAGTCCTCAGCCGAAACTCTGAAAACGACAGCCGTAGAAGTCAATGCTTTATAACTGCCCCACGATGGTGTCTATTTTCTGTCTCTCATCAGACGTTAAAACTGCCTAGATGCACAGAATATCAGAAATTACTTTTTCCTTCTACCAAGGGCACCCGCCTATTGCCGACATCCGTGGGTCTAATGCTCTAACACACACCACGACTATGACGTGACAAACCAGCCGAAACTTGTGGTGACAAAAAACAGTTTTCAATCTTCGCTCTCGTTGTCACCGCATATGTATAAAAAAAAAGACAGAATCTTTTACCAGTGATGGGGAGATCTTATTTATTTTATTTGCTGCCCCACAGTTGTACAATACACTGCAGACTCCATTATGAGTTAACGGGATGCGCAACATATAAAAACTTGTTTTGAAACCAGCGGCGTCATTTCCGACCACAAAATAAGCTGTTTTCGTAACTAATTTTAACATTTTTAGTTGGTCTCTTTTTCGGTTTCTGTGTGACCACCTTCGCCATCTTTTTCGCTAACGTGCCAGAACAAACGCGATGCAGAAGCAACAATACATTCGGTGTTCATTATCTCAGTCTATTTTCCATATAAGTTGTGTTGCACGAAATTGACGGCCATGTACTACATTATAGCCTCACAAATAAGTCGACGGGGTCAACATATGCCTCAATGAGCCACCAGACTCAGAGCTTGCTTACGCGCTCCTAGGCTCGGTGCTTATCTTACAGCAATCTGCTATCGCGGAAATTCAAACTTTCAAACTAAGTCGTCACCCACTTCAAACGATGTGATTAACGCTCATTTGTATTCACGATTGTCTCGCGTATCAAAAAAGGAACCTTTTATTGCGAAAATATTATACATTTATCCACCAAGCAGGATAGACGTGGTTCCAATTTCAAATTATCGTTGGTTCTTTAACGTGTAACATGTGGATCGCTGCCTTCTTGTGCGCTGTTCTGTTATCTGTCGCCGTTTCTCGGAGTCTGCCAACTATCGACGACGAAAGTACCCTTCACGCCGTCGTTGTGGTGAGATTGCAACAAATTTATCGAGAAAAAAGAAGAGTTCCGCGTCATTTTATTACCATTTCAGCTATTTAGGCATGGCGACCGGGCGCCTCTGAGCTCTTGGCCTAACGACCCTTACTTCTCCGACTTGTCGCTTTGGCCCGACGGCCACGGCCAATTGAACAACGTAGGTGAATTGCACTTATCAACCGAAGGAGACCGCAAAGTTTTTCTACTCGATAAAAGTGGTGCCAGCAATTTTAATTCATGATTTGTAAGTTAATTGGGAATGGTATTTAACTTCACGGTCTCCTCGGAAATAATTGGATCTCTTAAGGGAAATACTTGAAAACTTGGTGTTTTTGTCTATATTCGTTTACCTAACCTCACTTTTGGGATTTCATCTAGAACTGAACACGTGACCGCGACGTCAAAATGTACTTGGGTTATCATTGGGCATGCGACATTGGCCATAAGAGGTCCAAGTAGTTTACAACAACAATAATTTTTAACGTCATTCGTTTGGATATCTGATTGTGCTTCCACAGAAAGGCAAACGCAGGCACTACGAACTTGGTCAATGGTTCAGAGAGCGTTACGTAGATTGGCTGCCAGCCAGATACAACAGGAGCGACTTGTACGTAAGGTCCACCGACGTTGATAGGACGCTAATGTCCGCTGCTTCCAATTTGGCCGGACTCTACCGTCCCTCTGGAGATCAGTTGTGGAGCGATGACGTCACCTGGCAACCCATACCGATCCACACCATTCCGAAGGCGGAAGATATCGTGTTACGTTTCGACGTCGACTGCAAGAAGTACAACCTACTTACCGACCAGCTCAACACGCGAGACGACATAGTCACACTCTACCGAGAAAAGGACGAACTGTTTCGCAATCTTTCCCTGGCGACGGGCTACGACAAGGTAGACATCGGCACTACTTCGAGTCTATTCTCGACCATCACCATCTACAGGGGCGAGAATTTGTCGTTACCAGCGTGGACTGATCAGTACTGGTCCGAGATCAAATCGTTAGCCGCGTTGGACTTTAAAATGGGGACGTATACCCCAGAACTAACAAGACTGAGAGTGGGACCGTTCTTCGACTACCTTCTGGACCATTTGTACTCGGTTAAAGCGCAAGCCCTGACCGGAGTCGGCGATGACGATCACCCCAAATTTCTAATGCTCAGCGCGCACGACTCGACGGTGGCGCCGGTCGCGGACGCGATGAGCGTTTACAACGACGCGGTTCCAGAATTCGCGTCGACGCTGCTATGGGAAGTAAGAAGTCGAAACGAGGAGTTCTACCTCAACGTGTACTTTAAAAACAGCACGCACTTCGAAGAATTGACGACGCGCGATTGCCAAATCGACTGTCCGCTGGACGACTTCGCGACCGCCATGGCCAACGCGACCGTCGACGAGGACACGTGGAAGCAAGAGTGCGATGACGTTTAGAAATGCGCAACTAAATAAAATCAAAAGAGAAAATCTTCATGTGAAATTTTTATTTAGCAATGCTAAAACACGTCCATCGTGCGCATTTTTCGCAGTAAACGGAAAATATGCAGTGTGGGTTAAAAAGTAGATGTGGATACCAAATTCTTTTTTTAAATTGACCAGCATTTAAAAAAAAGAAATGTCAGTAAAAGTGTTAAAATGTTAAAATTCCATTCTGTCAGTAAGGAAAGTGAACATGGTTTATCTAAATGAAATCTAGAAAATTGAAATTTTAATTTTGTTAATTTTAATTTAAATTATTTTATCAGGTGTTGAAAATGCCCTTTATCAACTTATTGACAATATGGTAATCGCTTTAAAAACCCTTCCAAGACATTACTCAGGATATTCTTATATTTATATTTAGGATATTTATCATATAAATTTTGTAGCTTTTCCTTATGCAATATCTGGAGATTTTTCAGGGCATTCTAGCAATTCATTGTCGATTTTGTCTCCAGGTCCAATAAAAATTAAATTTTCAATTATCTGGATTCCATTTAAATTTTCACTTTTTTACTGATTGCTGATGGAATTGTAACATTTTAAGAATTGTAATGGCATCTTTTTTAAATGGCGTTCCATTTAAAAAAACAACTTGGTATCGATATCTGCAAAATGCACAAAAAATACAATGGATGTGTGCGAGCATTCTTCTTGAAATCCAATATCTGATTTTTATTTTTATTTTTTCATATTTTAACCGTTCACTGTATAGAGATCCTGTCTATGTTGATACAACCACCAGCATGGCCGTTGACAGTTCGTCGTTTCAACAGATTTTTAGTTTACATGTTGCATTTTTACGGCAGATTTTTTTTTTCAAAATTCAATTTTCTGGGTGAGTGAAGTGTGTGGAGCTGTTTAGAAATCCAGGTTACGAAATCAGCCGTCCGAGGCGCATCAATGTTTACTATACTAGAGTAACTATATTATCTAATACGTTATATGAGTTGTGGTGATAAAAAGGATCGCAACTATATAAATCAACAAAACTATATAGTGCTGTCACAGATAAAAGATTTTTGCTACCTATGCTGGGCGCATTTGTATAGAGAAAATCTAGGCAATAAACGTACTATAAATGAGCAATATAAAAAGACGTAGTACAAGAATAATAGCGACATAAAGTAAGAATATGAACTGCCAAAAGTTGCAGTTTAATTAATTCTACAACACTAGCACGCAAGTCAGATTTGTGCCCTAGGATTGAAGACACAACAATATGGTGGGAGTCGTAACACTGTATGTTCCATTTCTCTACTTACTAACTACTAACTTTAAAACTCCTACAAGCTAATTCTCTTCAAAGAAAAAATAATTCGCTGTCCCGTGGTTTTGAATTTTCAACTCCGAAATTCTGAAACTTTAGTAGTTGACTGTGATAGATCGCAATCTACATTACTCTAACACTAATTTGAGGAGTGTTAGATAAAAGGCAATGAGCCTTAAATATTTTTACAGTTAAGCCACAAGTAATTTAGGACCCAACCATTTTCTAATCCGGCATGTAAAATTGTTACTCATCCCTTTATTGGACTATTCTATACCTTCTAGAGGAATCGGACCATCATTTTAATTGAATTCCATGAGTGTTATGCTTTTTGAATGAAATATTGTTTAGCATCAGCAGCAAGAAGGTTTATTTAACAAAAGGACGCCTTAATACTGTTCATTTTCCATTACATTTATCTGTGAAAGCATAAGCATAAGTATTAAACAATAGCAATTACTGAACACACCTTTTTTTACAAAGAAAACTATTTACAAATAAAAATATTGTCTAATATATTAATTATTACTATTCAATTGCTTTAAAAATGCGTAGCTAAGCTTAAATGTTTTTGCAGACATATCGACATCTTCGGTTGCGATGAGGCGATATAAATCAACGTGCGTGATTAAAACATTAAATATTTTATTGCTAATGCGTCGAGTGGTTCACTTGAAAGCAGAAAAAAAAAACAAATTATGGAAAACATATTCGGACACGTGGCACTCGATATTATTATTGAGAGAAAAAAACGAAATTATTTTTTCTTTTATCACTTCCGAACCGTCTGAACTATTTTCACCAGAGCTGTATCGAAGATTATATTTTATCAACAATTACCACTATCGTAGTTATAGTAAGAAACCCTACCGTAGGGAGTTTATGTTTTATAAAAAAGATTTGGCGAAATTCATCCAGTGGTGTACCCGAATCGTGTTCGAGTAATAATCAGTTTCTTCCTATAATTACGCCACTGGTAACGTTTTCATGACATAACCGAAAACTCTTAGCTCCACCGGTATCAAGAGCTGCTTTATCTACGCAGATAAGTCGCATGTTAAATGCTGGATCAAATTGAAATATCGGTTAGTTGAATCGATCATGAGATATTTGCCGCGTCACTGTATACTGTACCTTTTCTGGGGATTTGTGTCGGTAGTTTCATTTACGGAAAACGATGGTGGCACACTACAGGGAGTAGCTGTGGTAATTATATTACATTTACCGTCATCGTTATAGTTTTAATTAGTTTATATTTTACAAGTCTGTGAGTAGATATTTTTTCGGTTGATATGATTTTGACATTGTTCAAAAGTAGGATAAAAGTGTAATTTTTTCACCATTACCTACATCAAGGTACTAATTTTGTTAAACATTATTTGGAAAAAAAAAGATAATTAAATATCATGACTAGTTGAATGTCACTGAGGATGCTAGAAAATTAAATTAACTCCACGAATGAGGATTCCGAAAACACTTTTTATGATTAGAAAAACCAGTGACACTGACTGTCAGAATTGACAAATGTCAAAATTCAAATCGTGGGAAATATCTCCAAAAACATCCGATTGCTCCCAAATCCGTGCGGTAAAATCCCAGAAATGTCCGAAGTGGCTCGGACACTGACGTGGTAAAGTGATGCTTCCCGCACGCTAGATCGGTGTGTAATTAGGTATTTTACAGAGGGTAGTAGAAGGAAAGATTTTTCTTGCCAAGTCGTCGAGAAATGTTTTCGTTTACACCTAAAAGATATCGCTTTCCTTTAAAATTACAGTTGTTCAGACACGGAGACCGATCGCCGATGGACACATGGCCCAATGATCCATACTATGGGAACTCGACTCTATGGCCTGACGGCTACGGTCAGTTGAACAACGTAAGCCACCATCGCCCACACTAAGTATTAGATCGTAAACAGTACACACTTAAAGCGATCTGACGATCCAAAACCCTTACGTCCAACAACTAAACGCCAGAAATCGTTGCGTTCCGTCATTTAATATAATAATAATAATAATAATAATAATAATATTCGTGACTAGAACTAAACATAATAATGATTATGGATTACATACATAGATAAATATTTTCTTTTTTTTTCTATCTGAGTTGCTTTTCTTCTCTTTAAATATATTGTGTTCATTTAAAGCAACTAACACCTTAAGGAAACATTTAGTAAGAACTAAAGACAAATTGTACCCTCTGCCACTTTTAGCTGTGCGAAATTACATGCGCAGAATGTCTTTCTATACTCAATTTGTATTTTCGCATGACCAAAATATTAGGGTGTTACATGCTTGTGATAAGAGGACAACGGCTGGAATACTAGAAATAGTAGTACCTTTCCGAATTTACAAACCCTGATGATTTTATTCAGCTCAATGATTAGACTGGCGTACGTGGTATCCAATTTATAAAGTTCACATTGATGCGATAGAGAAAGTACACAGTAGATTTTTAAAGTTTTTGCATCTTAGAATGGAGAGTAGTTGTCTGGAACGGGGAATTGAGAATAAACCATTGCTTAGAAAATTCAATAGAACAGGGAAGATTTACATCTACTATTATAACATTGTATAAAATCCTTCATTCATTTATGCATTACAGTGCCTCGATTCACAAATTCCAAAATTACCTTTAATGTAGAAATGTATATAAAAAATCGCTAATTTATATATTCAGTACAAATTACAATCAGATTAAGTTAATATCTGAAACGCTAATGTTTAGATGACTAGTTATGCGCCGTTTGCGAGAAGCAATATGAAGAAAAAGGTCGGGAATTGTGGGGAAAAAAAATTGCATCACGATAATGCACATGTTCCTTGTGTCTAACTTTCTGGCCAAAAACAAAACCACAATCATGCCTCAGCCTCCATATTCGTCGGATATGACCCTCTGTGACTTTTTCCTGTTCTCAAAGCTCAATAAACCAACGAAAAGGATGAAGTTTTTAACGATTGAGGAAATAAAGAAAATATCATTGATGTTATCTGTTTTGTAAGACATCTAATACTTCAGTTTTATAATAGTGAATCCACAACGTGTCCGTCACTTTGAAGATAATTTAGATATTGGTGTTGGTTGGTGTTGAATACTTCAGGTCTTTTAATGAAGTTTTATAGCATCCGTAAAAACCTTATTATAACACTTTTATTCTTGGGGTTTTGTAGTTTACTTCGCAAGACCCTTATAAATCTTAAAACACCTAATAAATATTTTATAGTGACCCTTTCTCCCTTCGTTATCTAGATATTTACAAAAAAACTAAGCACACTTCTTTCACGTATAAATAAACAACAACTGAAAAGAGAGGTTATGATTGCATAATTGACATTTGACAATTGCCCAGTAATAGTTAGCCGGAAGAACTCAAGGCCATACCAAAAAGTGTTTACTAGAAGTGTTTCAGGGATTGGAAAAAACGTTGGCACCAGTGTACTATATCTGGGGGATTACTTTGAAGACGACAACATTAATGTTGATAAATAAAAAAATTCTTTTTGATCAAACTTAAAAGTCACCTTAGTTTTTGAACACGCCTCATATCTCCGACCGTCATCAACAGAATAATGATAAAATTCTTGCAATTCGTGCACCGTCCTAGTCGGTAGTTCCTCTTACCTGTAACTAGTATTATACATAGTGTGCTTACCTCAACTGTCGGATTACTGAAGGCCTTTTTTTTCCTGGATAAAAACTGTTTCCTTGAATTGCAACGTATCGCTCTTCAAAACGCAGATTTGGCGATACATTCCGCTGCGCACTCAATAAGACATAACCGTCTGCACAGAAAGACACCAAAAACTGTATACGTAAAGTCCCATGTCAAGGGGAAACTGGCATTAAGCAACACAGAAATAATGTATAGCGAGTTGAAAAAAAATCCTCTCAAGCAACAATAGTTCATGGAGAGCAGCACTAGTACAAGAGGAAACTGAAGGAAGCAGTTTTTATAAACAGAAACTTAAAGGCCTTTAGCAATGCATCAGATGTCAATCAATATCAATCAATATCAACAACCAGCAATCTATTGAACAGTTACAATCCAGCGATCAACAGTGCACACAGGACTATATTTAAGCTGGTAGTTTTGAGAATTTTATCATTATTCTCTTGACAATGGTTGGAGATACATAATTTAAAATAAAAGCAATGGTCCAAACACATAGTCCAAACAATTGTTTCTTCAATATAGTAATTAAATCTGTTATTATTTATCCTGTAATTGATGTTAACACTGTTGTTCAACAAATCTATTTAATGAAATTTATTGGAAAATATGGAAATCCAGGACGCACTAAATAGCTCTGATGTTGGATGCGTTAACGATCGATCAGCTTTGATTTATTTATTATATTCATTTATTTTTTTATGTCAAGAATCCTCAATCCTCCACTATCGATACCATTAATCCTAATTAACTTTCCGTTTCTTGTTTTCTCCTTTTTACAGCAGGCGAGTTTGTTGAGACCCAAACGGGGTTGACATTTTTATTTAGTTCGGTGAATACAGGTCTGCTGGTACCCTAACATGGCCCTAACCTAATGCATAACAGATACTGCAAGACTTTGAGTATTTTCCCCTTTTCTTATTTAAAAAGAATTAAACTAATGGACCATCGCTCATTATTTCCCCATTTCGTTTTTTCTCAATAGAAAGGCAAGCGACGTCACTTCGAGTTGGGAAAGTGGTTTCGGAACAGGTACGACGGCTTTCTACCGTCGAGGTACAACAGCAGCGACATCTACGTGAGATCCACCGACGTGGACAGGACGTTGATGTCGGCCGAGTGTAATCTGGCCGGTCTATACTCGCCGCAAGACGATCAGGTGTGGGATGTCGACATTGGTTGGCAACCCGTACCCGTTCACACCGTAACTTACGATTCTGACAACGTTCTGGCATTCGGCGCGCCTTGTCCTAAACACGACCTCTTGGAGGAACAACTGAAAGCCAGCGATGAAATCCAAGAAATATTAAACGAACACAAAGACACGTTGGACGCGATAGGAGCCGCGTCAGGCTATGGAGACATGGACCTGCGGAAAGTATCGAAGATATTCTCCACTGTCACAATCTACAGGGGTTTTAACCTGACGTTGCCTGGTTGGACCGAAGATTACTGGCCACAGATCCAAGAGCTGGCGGCCATCAAGTTCAAACTGCACACCTACACTCCAGAAATGGCGCGTCTGAGAACTGGATTATTTTTCCGCTACCTGGTGGACTATTTTCGACGCGTGGAAGGGGGCGAAGGCACTAAATTTCTGATGCTAAGCGCCCACGACGATACCATAGCCGATGTCACCAACGCTATGGGTACGTATATGGACGCGGTGCCCGAATTCGCATCGTCGGTCCTATGGGAGGTTAGGGCTGGAGATGATCGGGTCTACGTTAGTGTATATTTCAAGAATAGCACCGCATTTGTGCAGCTTAAGGTGTACGATTGCGATCTCAATTGTGGTTTGGACGATTTCGAAGACGTCATGGCATCGATATTGGTCGACGACGATCAACAATGGACGGACGAGTGTCAGAATAACTAATAGAAGAGTTTTTTCCTCTAAAATTATTTTTCATTCATTGACTTGTGGAGATGTTTCATAGAACTCGAGGCCGCAGATCTTCGATTCAATTATGCGTTTCACAATTTCTCTTGGACAAGATCGTTATAATTATTCGCCCATTTCCGATTTCCGTCCACACATATACCGCGATTTGATACAAAAACAATTAAACTTGGATTTTAATTTGAGCTTGAAGTGCGACACAAATATATTCAAACAAGCAATGCTCACGACCGAATCACCGCACATCTTCGGTTTAATTCGATTATACGTTTCAGAATTTATATTCCGAAGATTTTTTACACTACGGAAACAGACGCACACATAAAATATGACTTTTCCTCATAAAGCAATATAGTAGGCCAGCTAAGGTACATTTCACACACTAACCTGCACTTTGTGCCATTATCTTTTTGAACAGCAATTTACACACACTTTACTCGTTTTGTCATTTACCGAGATCTAGGTATATTTTGCGAAAAACCTGCCGCCATCTATCACTTGTTGACAAAAAAAAAATTGAAAGTATACCAAAAAACCCTGATCACTTGGTTTCCACCACAGACCTCGGAGACCATCCGATCTGATTGCCGGATGGAGAAAACGACAAAACTGCACTTGCACAACATTTTGGCTGAACACAGATCCTTATCACGGAAAACAAGGGATCTGTAGGCAGCGGACCAGAATCGACCTGCCACGTGCGTTGCTACCCACAGAATCCACTGCAAATCTCGGAACCGTAGAATATATTTTCCTTCTTTACACCCATTGACTAAAACTGCTAGCATCATTCGGCATATAAAACATCTCAGAGAGCCATATCCGTTCTTTCTTCTTTTTAAACACTACCTAACGGTCCTATATTAGTGGAAGCTCTATTGCTTGTACCAAATAAACGTTGAATCAAGCTTGACCAAGCTTGCCTTTTTCTAGTGATTTATTTTCTACAAAGGTTGAAGAAATTTAGAATCAAAAAACGCGTCTATACAATGTTGAAAATTAATAAACTTTACATAATTTTTAGGCCACATTTTTGTAAAACGTAAAACGTCAAAAGTACACTCTTGAAAAATAGCAAACTTTACCGAAAAAAACAAATATGCCGTTTTAGTTTTTGGAGCTTCGTATAATTAGATTTTAAATTGCACCTTTAGTTTCTGAACTACGAGGAAAAATCAAAAAATTAGCGATTTGAAAAAAATTGCTGTATCTTTCTTAATATAACAAATATATCGATTTTGTAAAAATGTTTTCAACAGAAATAAAATAGCGCATTTCAAAAAAGAAGTCCTAATGTTTTTTAGTTGTTTTGTGTATAATGGTTCGATGCAAATTTTATTTTTACGCAAAAATATTATTTTAAAATTAGAAATTTTTTACTCCACATTTGAAAATTCTTTAAAATGGTTAAAGATGACGCCACATAGACGGTGATTTTTCAATAGGCGTCACTGTTTTCTTTTATTTTCTTCAATTTTATAGCATTAAGTAACTAAAAACAAGAGATAAAAACAAAAATCTAAAAAAAAGTTAAATAGTCTCGTATGGTAACGTCGGATTGAACGGGGGGGGGGGGGGGGCTAGGATATTCATTAATGGGGCAAATTTCGTCGACAACTATATTTAATATAAAATATTTTAAACACAACGTCGCGTGCGAAAAAAATCTCGTTTAAACAATATAATAAACCTTATACCCGGATTAATAAAGTGCTGCCATCTTTCAGGCGGCATCGAACTAACTTAAGAGTTAAATGACTTAGACGGGCGCTAACTGCAGACAATTTAACAAAAATTGAGGAATCTGGACGGTTAGAAGTTTAACAATGTCGACTTGATACACTCTTTAGCCCACTGAAGACAGTGCGGAAATAACCCACAATTAGGTCTTTTAGTCGGCTTATATAAGACTTAAACTCAAAGGCAAAGACAAGCATAGGAGAGACACTATTAGATCTTTCAAATAACACCAATTCCGACAGAGCTGGATATTGACGCAGGCCCTTTGGTACACCAGCAGAAATAAAGTGCTAAAAAAGTTGTTCAAGGTCAAAACTAAAAATTTGGGATCTTTTGGATTTTTGTCGAAAGCGGAAGTTTTATCAAAAAAAAAAATATATATATATTTTAGTTTAGTTTAGTCATTACCAAAGTGATATGTTTAGTTATTACTAAAAGAGTGAGTTATCATTTACCTATTCGTACTTGACTTATTAGTACCTAGTCTCAAAATATAGTTGCTAATTATAATCTAGCGAATAAGGGATTTGTCAACCAATTACTTATATACCTGAATTTGTTTTATTTTTATAAATATAAATAAAAAATTATATCCATTTTAGTATGTCCATTCTTTAATACTTATAAAAATAATTATCCATTGTGTACTCCAGTGATCTGTTGTTTACTTAGGGGTCAGCCATTGTACCTAACCTTAGTACACAATGGATCATTTGCAAACTTAAAAAAAAAATGGTCGTCATGATGCAACCAACCTATTATGTCAAAAAGTAATCGTGGGTAATTAAAGTAGCGGAGCCATAGTTTGTTGAAAATAAAATAAAAAGTTATAACTTTCATAACTTTTTTGCTACAGCGTGTCAAACAAAAGCTGATCCATTGTTGCCACCTTGACCCTACATCTAATAGGTTTAGTTTACATTGGAAAAGAAAAGATAGGAAACTCATAATCAGGGGTCAAAGGGACAGCTGGAAGTCATTGCGGAAAAGGAAGGAAGTCTCCTTAGAAATCAAATTGACTTTATTCCGCGAGTGAAGAATAAGACAACAGCAAGGAAAGTTGATATCGTACAGCTCCAAGAAAAAAAAAAGGTGTCAGTTCCAAGGTTCAAAAAGAAATAGAAACAATTGCTAGACGTGCACAGGACGACGACATCGAAGTAATGTGGAAAAAGATATCGGATTCACAACAAACAACAACAACCTATGGTATAAATGGCTCTGACTTAGATATGTAAATGAACAGACTGTTCTAGGTGTCATTATATCTAAGAACCTAAAATGGGCGGAGGGCCAGGTTACAAAACATGCCAACACCTTAATCTGTACCATAGGATGTGCTTTCGTCTTTCTTGTAAACGAGTGGAACAGTTAATCAGATGACTGCATCTACCCTGAATAGAGTTAAGATTACACTTGATTCTTTTATAAATAGACAGTGAACGCTGTGTCAATAGGTGACTTCTGTATATGGTGCCTAACAGTATAATAATAACATTAATTATATTACTAATAATAATAATAATAATAAAACAATAAAAAACATGAATGCAATGCATTACCTCGGCCCTTATAATTACCAATTACTGCAACTTATAATAAAAGGTAAAGTACAGGGAAAAAGATCAGTGGAAAGACTCCAAAACTCAGTCAAGCTCACCCTGTGCAGGAGATGAATTAAGAAGATAAAGAAGAAACCAACCTCTGCTAGAAGTCTCACTATTCGATTTGTTAATATATATGTTGCAGTCAAAGCATTCATTTAGTAAATGTATACATTTACTAGCCAATGCATACATTTGCTAAACTCCGTAGTTAAAGTATTCATTTTAACCAAAATGAAAATATTTGCTAGTGGATGTATGCATTCACGGACTGCTTCTAGTCAAAGTGGGAAGTGGGTTAAATTTACCGGGAAACCTAAAACCTAACCTCTTTATTCGTGCTGCACCGTTTGCTGTTTGTTGCTTTTCCGTTTCAGATTCTTGGTAAGTGAATTGTTTAAATTGTATGTGTCCAGAGTAATTAATAATTTTTAATTATTTTTTTAGTCATAAATATAAAATGGATAAAGAAGCGATGAAAGTTAAATTCTACGAATATATTAACAATACTCCACAAAAAGCTAACGGCTTTCGTATGACTCCGGAAAGATATACAAAACTAATAAATGATGTTAAATGCGCTAAATCTGCTCAAAAAAAAGAAAATCGTCAGTTCTGGTTACTAAAACATTATGATATAGTGTATGTATGTAATGTGGATAAACTAATTGCACCAATAGCAAATGAAAAAGTGCTGTATTATGTTACTATTGAAGAAGTGTTTGAAGTTTTATATGAAACTCATTTATCAATTGGACATGGTGGACGAGACAAAAAAAAAAGGAACTTAACCTTCGCTTTAAAAATATAACAGCACAAGATATTCAAACATTTTTAAATAATTGTGAAGTGTGTCTTAAAAAAAAGGACGAATGAAAAGAAAGGCTTGGTGGTTAAACCAATGGTGTTTTCTCATTTTAATTCAAGATGTCAAGTAGATTTAACTGAATCACAACCAGATGATAAATTTAAATTTATATTGGTATACCAGGACCACTTAACAAAGTTTGTCATTCTTAGAGCTCTTAAGAATAAGACAGCTAATGAAATGGCCGAGAATTTGTTAACCATGTCATTGCTGTTTTGAAAGGTTTATGGCCTGAATTAAAAATTGTTCATGGGAAGCCACGCCACAGGCAGTCTCAAGGCAGTGCGGAGCGTGCGAATCAAGATATTGAGAATATTTTAACCGCATGGATGCAACAAAATCAAACCAGTAATTGGAGTAGAGGACTGGATTATGTGCAGTTTATGAAAAACCGAGCCCTTCACGCTGGTATAAAGCGAAGTCCTTACGAGGCAATGTTTGGACAACGCGCCAAGGTCGGTCTTACCTCTTCTTCCTTACCACACGAGGTATTAAATAATATAAACAGTGAAGAATATTTGGAGAAAATTCTTGAAAATGTCAACGGTAATGAAGAAAATGTCCAGGAGATTCCACGACTTAAAACCATTGTGGAAGATGCTCTAGAATCAGAAATAATCTTCAGTGAAGATGTCGGGGAATTGCTAGTGGTTCAAGATGACACGGAACAGCGTTGTTCACCGCTTGACACTACCGTGACTCAACGAAAATGTGATGGATGTGACATTTTACTTAATTCGGAATGTAATAAAATATGCGATATTTGCACGGTGCAATCACAGATCAATAATGCCCGAGCAGAATCAAAAGAAAACTTACATAAGCAAGCTAAGCGAATGAAATTAATTTTCGATGCTTCGCATCCTCCGGCCGCACAGGGATTTTCTAATGTAAAACAAAATGCACAACGAATAGATGTGCATGCCTTAAAGCAAAAAAATTGTGCAATTCCAAATGCCATGGAAGTTTGAATTGTTCAAACAAATAAAGTGTTTTTCTTATTTATAAATGTGTTTGTGTTTCAAATTATTTTCTTTCTATGTTAGGTGCTTTTGTATTTTATGTTATAACTAGCTCTAGTGCAATAATCATAGAGTCAATAATAAATTTTTTTATTTGCAAAACTAAATTTTATTTTGAAATTCATCAATTAACGCTTTGACGGCAGTTGGTTAGTAACTGCATGCATTAATTAGTTAATGTATGCAGTTGCTAGTTAAGGTGTTCATTCCAATAAAATGGGAAGTGAATGTATGCATTGGCTAGTAAATGCATACATTTGACCGGAATGTACACTTTGACTGCAATATATATATTTGAAATTTTTAGTTTGCCTTTTGCATTTTGTATTTTTAAAATACAGGCGACTTTAATTACCATTGCGGATTTATTACTTTTCTCTAAAATGCAAAGATAATTGTTCTTGTTAAAATTTCTAGAAACTTAACGCCAGAAAATGTAAATACTTAATATAAGTCAAAATGCCTATTTGATACTTTATTTCTATGGATGTACCAAAGCTCTCCAGTCAAATTAATTTCTGTTGGAATAATTGTGCATTGCTTACTAAGCTGGGTGGGACACTTGTTATAGTAGAGCATCGATAAGCCACGCTTAGTGCAGAGCCATGATTGCGATATTGTACTTGTCTTAAGAACGATTCTTGAATAGCTCGCCTGAGAAACTTAGATTTTTATATTGAGAACAGAAAAATACCGAAGTTATTGCTGTTAACCATATCGCGGGCCCCTCCTGTGCTGTCCTGTCCTCCTCTACAAATCATCTCGCAAAATCGTTAAAAAATTCGTAACAAAAAAAAAATAACCGTCATCCCGGAAGCGCGGTGGCATTAACGTGCGTGAACACCCACCTCTGAAAGACGCCGCCCCTGCACCTCTCCACCTTCACCCCCTTGCCCATTTCGACACCGTCGCTGCTCAGGCACTTCCTCGTCGCCGGGTTGTAGACGGTACCGTTCTTGTACAGTATCCAGTACTGCTCGCGCTTGTGTCCGTGACACTCGGTCAGCTGGACGTCGCGTTTATTGAACACTTCTGCGCAGAAGTTCTCTTTGCGCAGCTCGCCGCGCCGACTCAACGAAAAGTACTGTGATACAGCCAGGAACTGGTGGCACTGGTACAGTCCAAGAGGTCCGACTTTGTCGTCGGGCAGCTGCAGATCGTCGAGACACATGTCGAACTCGGTCCTAGCCTGTCCGTAAGCCGACACGTTCTCGTCCGGTACGAATTTTTCCGGATAGACGTTGTCCAAGTACCTTGGAAATGGGCACCGTTAATTACGTCACGGTTGGGTTCGACACGACGTACCACTTGAACGTTTGGCACCTCAATTTTTGCCTCAACTGTTTCCGATGGGTTAAGTCGCCGACGATGGGGTTGTTCTCCAGTGCGGGTTGGTGCATGAAAAACAGCCGCTTGTAGTCATCCATCCAAACGTGGGCCAGACGGGCGGTGTTTATGCCGTGGGTGTCTTTGTCGTCGGGGAACGAGTACGGGTGGAAGTCTCTGAAGATGTGGCCTACTCGTGAACACGGCACCTGCGTTTTAACGATTTCGCCATTTTCTTTTTGTTTAAAACGACGGTGTTACAATACGATTAAGAAAATTTAACCCCCCTTTTCCCGCAATATAACAAAAAAGACCATGCAAAAACTAAAAATATTGAATTCAATTCAAGCCCTAATACAACAGATATGGCAGATTTTAGAAATATCCGTGGAAATAAATTGTTTATATATATTTAGAAAAAACAGGGTGTAAAGGGCTCAAAATAAGCCAAATTTCCTAAACAAACATATAGTAAAAGTGAATTTCACGAGAATTACAGCCATTCAAAAAATTGTTTCCAAAACGTTTCCAGTTTATATACTAATAACCTTTTTATTAAAAATTAACTATAAATTTTGAAGATTCTATAGCACAATAAATAACAAGATTGTTTCCGAAAAATTGTCGCTGAACGGGGCAAGATCGTAGCGCGTAGCGTGACGCAGCTTTGTATTTCAAAAAGAAGGGCTTCGCGGTTTTTTATGCTAATGGAGCGCATTGTGTTTCTATAGTGTTCCTGCGGACTACTATGGAACTTTCGCAAAATCGATGTAATTGTATTGTGCATATACCCGGTACAAAGAATCATTCACGTAACGCCGAATGAAAAAAATACGATGAACTTTCATAAATATAAAAAATTGTACAAGTAATAACAATTTCCAAAGATATTTTGCCAAGTTACTCGCGCACCCTGTATGATAGACGAAACTTGAAGCTCTCTCTCGACACAAAATTATCCAGTGTTTTATAGTTTTTTATTTATGGCTAATAATTCACCCACAAGAACGGCAATGTTTAGGGCCTTTTAGTGTTTTTTTTTGCCCATAATCGACACACCCCGTACATAATTAAAAAATAGGAACTAGAGGTTATAGCCCTAGATCTCCCTCGATTCCTTCTCGAAAAATTTTCCCGATAGAGAAAATGGTTTTCGAGAAAACATTTGTTTTCTGAAACTATGCAGTACACCGTAATAGTAAATGTAAATCCTGTATTGACTAAGCCCGAGAAATATCTCGAACAGCGTGTGTAATAGACTAAAACCATAAATGCAGAAATTGTAGCTCTTCATACGGTCTATCCCACTGTTTGCACTGATTATCCACATTTTTAATAACGATTAATAATATACCCCAGAAAATAACAATTTTCAAGGTCTTTAAACTTTTTGTCCATAACTAAAACACCCTGTATACAAACGAAAAAAACGCATAAAACAAAAGTTATAGCCCCGGATCTCCCGCATTTCAAGGTTCCAAAATATAAACATAAACAAAAAAACATATTTTTCTGGATGTCAAAATAAGGGGAAAAAATCAATTTAAAAAAATATATATTTCTTATATAGCGCGGAATATCGGCAACACCCTGTACAATAGCTGAAAACCTTAAATACAAAAGTTTTAGCTGTCTATACGGCTATATGGTAATGCAAAAGAAAATGACACCTGAATCATAGCCACATCATAGGGGGATCCATTTTTTTGTTTTTTTTTTTACGGCGCACGTTGTACATTTTTGAAAAATTGTCAAGAATAAAAGTTTATGGAGCCAAATCTTTTGCGACTTTCTGTTGAACAACGTGCGAGTCCAGTGTATCTCAGGAGATGCTCCCGCCAAAATGTAGAAAACACTATTCTACTGAGACTAAGGAAGTTATAAACAATGTTTATTTGACTCTCATTGAACCTGGTGCCAGCAAGCAAGCATCTTTAGAAGAAACGGCCACATTGAAGAAAATTCCAAAATCAACTGTATGGAAAATTGTGAATAATCCCATTTCAGCGAGGAAAAAAAGAAGCAATGCTGACATTTTCTCGAGTGTAAATGAAATTGATCAAGATATTACTAGTTCCAAACATTCCTCCTAATAGCGTAATCGTAATGGACAATGCAAGTTATCACAGTAGGCAGTTGACTAAAACCCCTTCCTCCTGTGACACAAAAGCAACAATCCAAAACTACATGTATAATAACGACATTTATTTTCACGAAGATTTTACCAAAAAGCAATTAATTGAGGTTCTACAAAGCTTAAACCTACAAAGGGAATACGTCGGTGATAATTATGCAAAAAATGTAGGGCATACAGTTTTAAGGCTTCCACCTTACCACTGTGTATTTAATCCCATTGAACTTGTTTGGCGCCAACTGAAATCTGCCATTCGTCGTAAAAATGTTTTTCCCCGTGTTAACTCCATTGTCATCAAACTTATAAAAACCGAAGTTTTTAACATCCCTCCACAAAGTTGGGCATATTTTGTTAAACATATAGAAAAAGCAGAACAATCGTATATCCATATTGCAAATAATATAGAACACATAATAATTAGAACAGGCAATTTCAGTAGGTAATAAAAATAATTTATAATTTTATTTTAGATTTAAACATAAACACATACATAAATAAATAAATATTGTTTGGTATCTTTCCTAACAAAACCCCAAATAATTAAATCCTAAGCAAAGTAGGGACCTGTTCAGCCATATTTCATTCTTACAGCTTGCCCGGGTCTTTCCTTAATTCGTATCAGTTAGTCATTTTCTTATATCTATGAACAGACTTTAAATCTCAATTTTCGTAGCCCAAACTGTTATCAAGTTATTCCGGACAAACCAAAAGACGAGAACGGAGAACGTTATATATATATACATATATATATATATATATATATATATATATATATATATATATATATATATATATATATATATATATATGTATATATATATATATATATATATATATATATATATATATCTGTTCCAACGACGATCCCCTAGGACCTACCCTTACCGAGATATAAAATTTTTATACTTTCCAAAAATTCGATTTTCGAAAGTAAAAAAAGCAGTTGGCAGAAACAATTAACTTAATCTGCATTAGACCTTAGATTTGTATAGCAAAACATTTTTCACTATGCTATCAGTAGTGAAGTTGCAAATTTTGGTGACCATTTTGTTTATGCATTTTAATCCACTGTTACTGTGTTAAAATCATTTTAAACATAACTTATAGCTTCACACCAACTTCAAATCAAATATCTTTATTTTAGATTGTTTCACAAAATGTTGGGCCCAAGTTTTGCAATCATTTGCCCGACCCTAGAATATTTCATAACCCCAAGTTTTTATTTTTATTTCTTCATATTTATCTAGAACTTTTGACAGCAAAATACAATGAGATTTTTGGCTTAGTAATATTTAAGTTCAACAGGTTCGTCAAAAATAATTATATTTACTCACTGTTTCCAACCGTCCCCCGCACTGCCATATCCGAAACGACATTTCCAAGTTTTCGCCGCCCCATCCGTCCATCTGCTCGTCATAGGACCCAATGTCCCAGAAAAAGTTTCGGTTTATGGCAAACAACCCGCCGGCCATTGTGGGAGACTTGATGGGGGTTACCTTGTTTTTGTCATTCTCGTCCTGGATGTCGATCCACGTGAAATGTCCGGACCACGAAAATCCTCCAACTTGGAAGCTGGAGTCCCCATTTGTGGAGTAACCCATGTTGTTTGCCTCAATGACATCTATAATTGGCACTAAGACTGCTGTGTGGTCTTCCTCAATTCGGGATAAGAGCGGCTCGATCCAGTCTTTTGTTGCCTCACAATGAGCATCTAAAAACAGAAAACTTGTAGTGGCGTGGTTGATTTTAAAGTTAGCTTACCTAAAAATATAAGTACATCGCCAGTGGCTTCTCTGGCACCCTGTAATCTAGCCCGAATCAAACCTAAACGATGCTTAAGCCTTATTACATTTATATTGTAGTTTTGCAGTCTTGTAGCTATGTAGTGGTCCAACAGCCCTTTAAGGTTTTCTAGGAAAATAACATGGACGGTGAAAAAATTAAATCTTTCAACTCTGAATTAGAGAAAAATCTCACCATCAGTACTACAGTCATCTACCAATATAATCTCTTGCAGAAGATGACTAGGAGTTTGTAAAATCACACTCCATACTGTTCGCAATATCACGCTCATGAGCTCATTATAAAATATCACAATAACCGAAGCTTTGATTGTTGGAGAGTATTTCAAATCTTTGCACCTGAAATAATCTCAAGCTAAAATCTGTTCACACGTGGGTACTAGTCTACTTGCTTCCTATTCCTAGGGTCCCTCAGTTTCCTATCTAAAGGCATTCGATCACTTAGCACTGTATTGAGGGCGTATTTTTTAAGCGCTTTCTCGCCCTCGATGGCGTCCTCGCCATCAAGAAAGGCAGGCTCCCCTTCATCTCCTAGTCCCTTTATGATTTTGGATTCCCATGCAAGTAACTTTTGCTCAAAGGGGTAATTCTCTTTGGAAACCAACCGACTAGGGACAGGCGAATTAGGCAGTTTCGACCTTAAGTACAAAAGCAAGCAAACTGTAGCCAACACCGTTAAAAGAAGGAGCACTTTGCAGTAGATTCTCTTGAGCCTGAAGCATCTGATGAGCATCTTACGGTATCGGTAAAATGCATGCTAAAGCGTAGAACGAATCGCGCCACTGCCGAGTATCCTGCGTGTTATTTAACGCGAGACATACGTTTACCGTTGCAAGTGTGCACTTCACAATCTAATTATGCTCTAGTTTTTTTAGGTTATAAAAGAGCCAAATTTTTCTTCTATTATTATTTATTTATAGGAATGAAGAAAGATTTCTGTTTGCTGTTGCTTCCTGAAAATACTTTGGTATTTGTGTCAGCCGACAGATGGCGCCTGCCTGTTGAGAATGCGGACGATAAATGCAATGCAAAAAAGTTTAACAAGATAGGGGCACAGTCGAAAACTGTAAAGCGCTGTTCGATACAGAAAGCAGAAAAATATGTCAAGTGATCTGCAAGTTGCATACGCAATGATATATTCGAAACTGGCGTCACTTTATTACCCCGGACTCGGTGTTAGTTTTACCAGGGTTTTTACTAGCGCCCACCCGGCAAAAGGAACAAACAAAACCGAAGGTTATCTTCGGAAAATAAAGGCTTGCCGCCGCACCTTTTATTAGCCCCGCCATAATAAACTTAATTTTGTTTAACTCGGGTCGTTACGGGCCTGAACACATTAACATGACTCACGTCAGTTTATTAGCGTTCGTTAATACAGTATCAATTAAATTAACTAAGCGTTAAATTGTTTGTTTATCGGCACATATTGGCCTCTAGGTATATGGAAGTAACAGATCGATTTCTATCTTTAATAAAACGCGGCAATTAACTCGCCCTATAGAGCACCAACGATCACCCCGCGTCGGTGAGGGCTTGTCGGCTGGTTTTTGCGAAGAATTACTTGTTGCCTGACTGGAATCACTATATAAAACAGAAACGTCGCTAACTGGGAATCGACCGTGCGCCATCAATTTCCATTATTGGGAATTTATCGGGGTTTATGATCCCTTAAATTTGATCGGGCCGAGCAATAAGGGCGGGATTATTTGTCGGGAACAATGTCGTAATTCTATCAACAGTTTTATAGTCTTAGTTTCGCGTCGAAATTGATGCTAAACGTGGGGATAATCTACAAGAGTGGCATAATTAATCCGTACAGACCTTAATTTGGGGTTACGACCGCAGGTGAGGGGAGAAAATCGGAGAGTCGGTCTACTAAAATTGGTTGAGGTACATTTAGGTAATAACGGTGCTTATGATTGGCCGTAACAGTATTATTAGCATGTTAAACATGTATTTCTTTTTTATGTGAAGAAATTGATGATTAAAACGATGTAGGGCAATCTATCTTTTAATGTTGCAAAAATTATTATTAAAAAACTATCCCAATTTTCTTCTGTTGTTAGGCAACCGATTTAACAGCGTAATGGGCGAGCGGCTTTAGCCGATTTGCCCAAAACATTCAAAACGGATGAAAATGTGTGTCGATTTAATCTCTGATTGCCTTATTGGCGTTTCACTATTAGTTTGGTTGCCCGGAAACCGATACTAAGAGAATAAATAAGAACAAAAAGTTCAGATTTTCATGAAATTATATATTATGACATGATAATTGTTTCGACAACACCGTGTCTTTATCAAATGTAATATTTACAAACTACCTGCTACTATATATACCGAAAAATGACCATAAAACCTTAATTAATGTTGTTGTGAGAATTTAAGTTCAATAAAGGAGAGATATTTAAATCTAATTGATCGTTAGGCAATACATTTGAATGTCTCATTTTGTTAATCTCCATGGCTTCCAATAAATTTAATTTTCTACTTTTTGTGGCTGTAAGTAAAATATCAAAATTGTCATCAAAAATGTGTTTTTCTGTGTTTAAGTGTGTAGCATAACTAGAATCTAGACTATTTTTTTTAAACGCTCTTTTATGTTCGTTAATGGGTTTCTTGAAGGATCTACCTATTTGTCCAATATAAATTTTAGGACAAGATCCACATTTCAACCTGTAGACACCTAATTTTTGGGATTTTGGACATTTCGTTTTATTGTTTTTTAAATATTTTCCTATTTTGTTGTTAGTTCTGAAAGCTATTTTTAAACCACATTTTGACAAATGTTTTGAAACTTTTTAACTAGGTTCTCCTATGTATGTAATTGTTTTAAATTGTTCGTGTTCTGTATTAGGTTTCGGATAAATAGAGTTTATTGTTGTCTGTATTTGTTTTTTATTTATAATTTTATCTATAATGGACGGATTGTAGCCGTTGTTCAGTGCAATTTGTTTAATGATATTAAGTTCTTTGTTGTAATTTTCTGTTGAGAGTGGCGTATTAAGAAGTTGTGTATAAAAGAGTTAAATGCAGCCATTTTGTGTGTATAAGGGTGATTTGAGCTGTTATGTATGACTGTGTCGGTGTGTGAAGGTTTATGATATATTGAAAAATCTAATTTGTTTTGCGCTTTCGTAATAGTTAAGTCTAAAAAATTAATAGAGTTATCCTGTTCGATCTCGATAGTGAATTTTATACGATTATGTAATGAATTAATGTAATTTAAAAAATAATTCAATTGTCTGTCTTAAAGGATGTTCTAGTATGATATTTTCCAAATTATCCATAAAAATCTCGTCTACCATAGGACTAAGTGGGTTTCCCATAATCAAACCTTCTTTAGAGATATAAATCTGTCCATTAAATTCAAAATAGTTTTGGTCTAAAGATACTATTAAGCAATCTAATAAATCTTGTTTCACCAATGGGTTAATCTGTTTCCGAGTTGGGTAAAATATACTAAATCTATCCACACCCATCCATAGGTGCAATACTGGGAAATAAGTTTTGTACATCAGAAGACAATAGTGTTGCGTTAGAAGGGATTTTGATATCTTCAATTTTGTTGATTATTTGAAAAGAATTTTTTATTGCAAATTTTGGTTTAAAATCTGTGTGGAACTTTAAAATATTTACTAATTTTGTAGAGAGTTAAACTGCTGGAGCTGTTACATAAGACGCCACTGGTCATAATTGTTAAAAAATATTTGTCTTTGTCACTGAATAGTGTGGAGTTGATAATTACACCCTTGACTTGTCTTTGATATAACTCGGTAGGATCGTGTTTGATACATTGGAATAGTTCTGGTTTAAGAAAATTGTTGGTTTTTGAAATATATTGTGGGAGATCGATAGCTATGACTGTCTTCCCTTTATCTGCACAATACTAAGAGAGTTGAAGAAAGAAACACATTAAAGGGATGAACTTTCAGTATCGAAAAGTGTCACCCCACTGAGGCGCGGCGATCGAATCATCGCTAAAAAAACGATGTCAGATGCAACGCGATACCCGAATGACACCCCATCAATTTACCGACCATATCGTATCGATTGATTCTAATAAAACAGCCCCTGCCCTAATCAGGCGGCTATAAAAGGAGGGCGGCGAGGGAGGGGCAGACGCGGACCACAGATAAAACTGTCCTTGCGATCCATCAAGCTCAATTACCCAATACCCGCGCTCTTATGGTTTTCGGATAAACCAACACGGAAATTCAATTCAATATCGCGGAGCGGGGGCAGAGTCGGCGGGTCCCCTTTCTTATCCCCCATAGAAGTAGAAGAATATTATATCTAGAAGACCATTTCGAAATGGTTTGTGCCTACTCTAATATTCTTTGCCATCGGAGGAACTTTCATCGTTGTTCACTACTTGTTCGTTAAGTATGAACAAGTAGTAGACCCCACATATTCTCCTCTCCTCTCCTCCCCTCAATGGCTTGACCAAAACAGTAGTTTCAGCAGTCTTTGATTTTGAAAGTCTTGTCTTGCTACTACCTCTTTCACTTGCATCTACAAGTCAAACCATATTTTTCTGCCATATCGTCCACGGCGTATTTCATTAAGCGAAGTTTGAGTAAATTTACCATTTACCACTTCATTAGCAAATTATCATCAAATTCAATATTTCTTGTGGTTAACCAGTCGATAATTTCTCTCCTCTCCTTGCGTTGTAAATGATAGTTTTGCGTTTACTGTAACTACTGTTGAATCAACCGGAAGATATATAGTACATAATTTCAGCTAAATAGTCTTCATGTCCTAGTAGTAATCTCCTTTTATAAATCCCTCGTCGCGTCGTTTCCAACATGGAGGATAATTAGTCTCTCCAAGATACATTATTTTCTCCAAGTAATAACCTATAATTAATATTTTTTCTTATTCTAGATCATTGTGACGTTCTTAGACTTAGGACATCTGATAAAATATTGGCAGGTAGATTTTGAATAAGATTAGTTTTTTTAGTTTGGTTAGTTTTGTGTGTTTGTTTGCTGGGAGCAAATTAACAGTGCCGATTCTTTCTAGCGTAATATATTCTGAAAATACATGGAGCTGCAGAACTAGGTCTGGGAGAACAGATATCAAGAAGCAACAAAACGACAATCTTCTTTACAGTTACACCAACTTAATAACTTGGCTAATCCCAGCATATAAACCTGACGGTACTATTGTAATTAACCAAAGTATCTCATCTCTCTTTCTTCATGTTGACACGTTTTCAATTCATATAACGTTCAACCATTTTTTTGCTTCAGTACATACAAGACCGTTTGTAAATTCGGTGGGGTTTTGTGCTAGTCGGACCCTGTCCGCATCGATAACGCGGTAAAAACAAAAGGGACCAATCGTTTCTTCTCATATTCTACTCACGGCCGTACGAAATACGATTTAATTACCAATCGCAAGTTTATTTGTTTTCTATTTTCTTCTACCCTGTCGTAAATTGAAGAAAGTGAAGGTACAAGCCGTAGTTAATTTTTCAAACCGAATGTCTCGAGAGCCTCCTGATAAAGGATTCCCGTTAATTTACTCCATTCTTTCTAGAAGGATAAATTTTAAGAGGCGCGGGATCTGCGAGGACAAAAGGATTCCAGACGGGCTGAGCCCAAAAGAACGGGATCCTTTGTGACAACAGGGAAACGTCCTCGAGCGAAACAGAAGAGCAATTGCGGCTATCCGGATGCTGTCAACTGAACCCACTTTTCTCAATCCTCTGCCGGGCGTTTTTGCGTCCCAATTGATGGCGGCTGCAGCAGTTTCTCCCCACTTACGTAATATTCCCCATATATAATATATAATTTGATATAATTTAATCTGCCATTCTGATAGAATCTCGTAGAATCATTTGTTACTGA